ACAACTGGACTGCTTAAATTAGACTTTTAAACAAGAAATGAAAGAATACTGTCAAAGCCTGTCATGTGAGGCTGTGGAACAGATGAGATCATTAATTTAGGTGGGAAAGCAGAGAAACTGAGGTAATGTGACTATTCCTTCATCCTTGAGTTGGTAGCTACATAATCTCAGAGAAAAAATATATAATAAATCATTCCTACACATGATGACTCAATAGTCATTGGTGTTGAAGGGAGGACTTGGACTTTCACTAATTTCATAATGAATATCAGGGATCAGGAAATAATGGATAAAGAACCGAACAGTTACAGCAAGATAGGTTAGTAAGAGCAGTTGCTATGTAGGACTGATCCCCAGAACCCACCATAAAAGAGAACTGGCCCACCCCGCCCCAAAACTCGATGACCTTTACCCATGCACACTGGCACACATGCACTTCACACATTCTAATCTTTTTAATTTCTGAAAATTTTTTTTAAATTTGAAGAACAAGCTTTCAGGGGTCTTTTCCATTAGAAACAAATAATTTTCTGTATTATAGCCAAGGAACATATGAGCAAAGCAAAAGTATCTCAGCAAGACAGTTCTTTTTGTTAAAAAAAAAAATTCAAAAATGTCCACTAAGCCTAAAACGGACTAACAAAGGAACTTGGCCAGGATAGATTCTGTCTTTATCCCAAATGAAGCTCAACTTCATATTCTGATGCAACTGCCTAATTGATGAAAAGGGGAGGTTCAGGAAACACTAGTCCTGGTGAAACTTACCCTCTCAGTAGGGGGAATAAACTAATTACTTTTGATAACTACCGGGAGCCTCCCAGACTGGAGAGGATACTGGTGGGGATATGGAGTAGAACTCTAGTGTGGCCTTAAATTCTGAGGGTCTCCTTAAGCTCCAGCTCTCTAACTGCACTGAAATGCTGATGATAACTTCTAAAAAGTCCTAAAACTTTTCTTGCTGTTCTGAGGTTAAAAATCTGCTAGCTTAGGTGATTGACACCTGTACCTTAACAGCTATGGTGGAGAGAAGGTGTTAAATAACGTGGCCTTTATTCTATCTCAGCAGAAACTGAGCACCTCTAACTTTCAGCCTGCTATTGGGAAGTTGGAGGAAGCAAAAAGGACACTGAGAAGTGATTTTATAGTTTATTACTAAGTTGTAAAATGTTTCCTATAAAAGCTAACTAAGGGGAAAAGCAGAATTCCTAAGCAAGGAAAGAGAAAAATTCTCTAATGGAGGAAAGGGGGGAAAAGTCTTCTCTAAGTGGGAAAAGACAAAAAATTCTAGTAAAGAAAAATTCTTCTGTTTCTCATCTCTTTGTCCTCAGTACTTATACATCTTTAAGAATACATGATCACATGTTACAAAGTTCATTACAGGCTTCCATACAAAATCAAATCATAAATTGATTATGTAAGTCTACAACAGAGATTGTTTACATGTGTATCTATTATGAATAATTATCTGGTTAAACATCCATCACCCATCTCAGCTCCACAGGTTCACTGAAGGTTTAAAATCATAACTAAGTTATTAGTGAAGTTTTGTGTTGATAAAACCACTCAATATTTTATATTCTTTCCTAGCACCTATAAATCATTAGTTCCCTATTTATGACCTTTGGTTAATTGTTTTAAAACCTCTTGGAATGTGCTCTGAGTAGGAGAAAGTCTGGTTACTATCTAACAACAACTAAAAAGTCTCAGTTGGGAGACTGGCAGAGTTCTCAATATAGTTTTGACTATCAGAAAAGGATCTAATAGCAGTCCCACTATAAAAGAGCTTAATAGTCACAGATATAATTTTAAGAATTCTTTTTGGATCATCATTAAGACTTAAGAAGTCATCTATTTGTCTACATAGCATCTCTACTAGATGGTACCTCTTCATAGATCAGCAGAGATATGCTCCAAAGGGGTGGGCCGATACATAGTTATTGTTATACGTTTAATACAAACAGGAAAAGCATATCAAAAGCAGAAATCTTTCCTAAAATGAATTCTCTTATGGCCTTGCTTAAGAAGAGCTAATCTGTCAAAGGTTATATTATAATCTGAAGCAGACCATCTGCTTCACCTGCTAGTTATTGTCCTATTATGGCTCCTGACTGATATAAACATAAAAATGTTCTCACAAGTCCTTTCAAGAGATCATATATGGAAACTACTGAAAGACTGAATTGCAACAGGTGTGGGAATGAAGAGGCTGCCTGGGTGTGTGGCCACCCTGTGAGGCAGCAGCTCCTATGAGCTAACAGAACACCACCAAGACAGATGGAAAACTCAAGTATCCTTTTATATTTCCAATAGAACAGAATAGAATGTGTCTAGTTGTGTCTGTCATCTGAATGGAGAGGTCATATTCTTTCCAAGGAACCCTAACTGCAGTACTACCCTGAGTGATGTCCAAGTACCAATACTCCCACTTGAATCCTAGGAGTTGTTTGCATCTGTGGTTTTTGTGTGAAGTGTTGGGAGAAGGCAACCATTGCCAGAAAACTTAAGGACTAGCCTAAATCTCTAGGGTCCTAGAGTTAAAGCTTGTGCCACACAAGTAGCAACCTAATGGGACTAAAGAGAGTCTTTGCTGGCCTGGATATCTTATCTTGTACAAAGTCTTTTACTTCACTACAGAGAATATTCACATGACTCCACAGTATGTACTTTAAGATTCTTTCCCTAAGTTTGATGATAATAAACAAGTGTAGCACTCAATCACCTCCTGAGGTTTTTTTTTTTTAATTTATTTGAAAGGGGTCCCATAGAAATTACACAATTCTGAAGTGACAATTTGCTCTTCAGATTCAATTCTGATTTTAAATTTGGAGAGTTACAGCACACAATGTGACAGAAGCTCTAGTTCTAGAAACTTCAAGTTAAGAGGGGTAGATTTCTTGCTCTTACAGGTTTATGAAAGTGGGGGTTTCATATCACATGTCAGCCTGTGTACTAGGAGTCACACAAGGAGTTAGATAAACAAAACTTACCCTTTCATCTGACTATTCATGGACTCGACTTACCTACTGATACAAGAAGAAAAGAGAGGAGCAAGACCACAGCAGATACCTAAGGAGAGTTTGAACCACTACAGACTAGGGATGGAGTAATCCCTACTCAAAGCCCATAGAACTGATACATAGAACTATATACATAAGGCACCCTCAGAACCTGTTATAAGAGATACAATGCATACCATACCTATTTCTTGCCTTTCTTCTTATTCATTATTTGACCCACTATAATCAGGTTCACTCCAGTCACCATAGCAGCAATCATTCCAAAGGTCTTTAGCTAAGTCCAAAAAATTCTGCCTCCTTCCAAACCTGCTATATAAGTTAGAGTTTACTAAGAGGCCAAACTTACTCCATCTGGGACCAGCCTCCATCTTAACAGAAAACAAGCCTGATAACTTGACCTTCAGCTGAACCCGAGTTACATGAAAAGTACCAGGAAGGACCCCATAGCTTGTCCTTGGCCAAAGTTACTCCCTAGCTACTTCCTAGCACAAGTTAATCAAAGATTAGTCTGATTGTTTCAGATGTACTTTCAGACCATTTGTGACTGTTCATGGTTTTGCTTCAAAGTGCACACCTGTTGGCCTAAGCCCCCTTCCTTGTTTTCCATCCCTTATAGAACCTTATCCTGATGAGAGCTGGGGGTTGTTCCACCTTCCCTTCTTACTGTTTTCAGGGTTGGCAGAGAGTCCAAGCTTGAGCTTGTGATAAAGATAACCTACATAATGCAGTTAAACCAGAATTGATTCCTTGGTGGTCATTTCAGGCTTGGGAACAGGCACAACATTACTACTGTGACAGATACACATTAAAAAAAAAAAAAAAAACGGTTCAAAGGAGGAAGTTTCTTGAGCATTTTCAGAAGTTCAAATATATAAGTAGATCTCTTCATTGCTTCTGGCCAGTGGTATGGCAAAGCATCATGGGAGCAGTGTATGATCACTGACAGCTGTGTGTAACCTATGGTGCAAGGGCAATATGCAGGCACATGTAGCTAAGAAAAGCTATGAATTCAGTCCAACATAAAATTCCAAAGTTACTTATACTTTTTTATGAATTTACAAAAAAAGTTGAAGTTCTTGAACAAGAACTGTGTAAACAATAACATCGCAATGTCAAAAGGTTGGGAATGCATTATATACGTAAGAGATGATCACCTAGTGGTGCTTAGGAGTCAGAGGGTAAGAGATAGGACCTATTATCAAGATGTAATCTTCAAGCCTTGCAGTGGTGAAACACACCTTTAATCCAAGCCCTCTGGAGGCAGAGGCAGGTAGATCTCTAAGTTCCAGGCCAGCCTGGTCTACAGAGTGAGTTCCAGGACAGCCAGGGCTACACAGAGGAATGTTTTCTCAAAAACAAAAACCAAACCAAAACAAAAAATAGATGTAATGTTCTATTTTATGCCTTTCCAAAAGCTTAAAAAGGAATTACTTGGGTACATTAAATTTGTTATCTAAAGGCATACAAGTAACATACTTGCTGGGTGATGATGCCCTTAAACTCAACACCATGGAGGCAGAGACATGATGCCAGGACAACCAGGAATACATCTGGAAACCCTGTCTTGAAAAAAACCAAAACCAAAAGACCAAAACACCAAAACCAAAACCACCAAAACCAAAACCAAAACCAAAACCAAAACCAAAACCAAAACCAAA